TCTAGGTCACACACACGCACACACTTGGACTGTGCGCACTCAAACACACATGGACGATAAAGATTTTTTTTTTTAAAAGGAAGTGGAGATATTGTAAAACAAATGTGATTGATTGTTCTGAGTTTATTGCTGATGTGTTCGGATCCGGCTATTATTGAAGTGTCTCTGCTATGTGCACTATTTGTTGTTGAAATCATTTGATTAATGTTCTGATTGAAGGTCAACAGTTGAATGGCAGTATTGATCCTGTGTTGTTACTTAAAGGGAGGGAATGCTCATGACACGCATTTTTAAATAATTATCATCCGATAAAACAGACCAGTCTCTGCCAGTCTTCTTCTTTTTTTTTTTTTAATCCGATGACATTATCAGTGATTTTAAACGGATTAATTACCGAAATAACATCAACCCTGTGGGCGGCGCCATTTTACCGGAAGTGACGTAAACTATGCGTTTGGTGTCGAGGACACGTTGATGTTCATGTTATTTACTCTAGTTACTCTCTTCAAATATGCCTCATTGTATCGCGAAACATTGCCACAATTCGGATAGGAACAATCCACGGAATGCTCGGTTCCATCTATTGCCAAAAGGTAAGCGTAGGAAGTACGTTCGGAGGTAGTGGCTAGCGAAATGTGCTCGGCCCGAACCGAAAGATCCACAGGCGCATGTATGCAGCGAACATTTCAAGTTTCCGGACGACTACTCTGAGAGTATGATAAAACATAAAATGGGATTTATTAAACAACCATTACTTAATGGAGATGCAGTGCCATCGGTCTTTCTGGTGTCATCACCGACCAGGACACCAGTTCGGCCAGTTGAGAAATCGCCCTCTGCAAGTCTGAAGCGACGGAGGACCAGAAGTAGTGCTCGGAGTAAGAATAAGGTATGTTATGGCGCATTTCCATTGCAGCGGGTAGCCCCGTTTAAACGTCCTTTAGCGTCCAGGCCAGTTTTTGGTAGCCTTTCCATATAGCGTAGTACCGGCAGCGGGTACTTTTCCCCAGTTTTTCCGGCCCCATAAAATCGTGGTTCTAGGGCCAGGGACAACGAGGCTGAGTATGCTAAACTAGAGAGGGAATCGCTAGCAAGGGTGGTACTACATGCATACATATCTAGTAATCAAAATCATTGTATCTACTAAGTAGGCCTAAATTGGGGTTGTATTGTTTGCCTTTTTAGAAAACTTTATTTTATATTATTTGGGCAGTACATGATATACACAATTGTATTGTTTGCCTGTAGTTGGCCTTTTAATTAATAAAATATTTGAATTTGAAGTTTTGTAGATAGGGATCTTTTGGAATTATCTAGTCTTTGTAATTGTCCGGCGACGTTTCTCAGACTGTCCAGACTGCTTTAATTCTCTAGCTTAAATCAGTAAATGTTCTAAAATGTTTGCTGGGGCCCTGACAATACACAAATACTCCGCCATGTTTTCGTGTGTTTACAAAGTGAACGCATGGATGACGTCACGACCATCACGTGACTACTGAAAATGGCCAAAATGGCAGCTGCCTGACGGAATATACAGGTTTTGATAAAAAAGAGCTATAAAATCATTATTTACCGGGGAATATCGCTGATTTCTTCAGGGTATGGTTTAAACATAATGTTTCACTAAATACTGAAGTTTTGATTAATTATCTAATGAGTGGAGCATTCCTTTAACAAAAGGAAGGGAGATGTTACAGGGTGGTTTAGGCTAGGTTGCAGCTCCACCCTGTGGACGTATTGTGCCTGTGTTATATATATATCTGCCTCACGTGAATATACCTCAGTTGTATGATTGCCTGCTCAATGTGAATACACGGCGTTGAGACACAGCCTGACATGCCTTGTTTATTAATGCACATACATCTACAAACAGAGAGCGCTCCATTTATTATTCCCGTGTTATTATAAGTTACTGTACACTTTTGAATAGTTAATCTACTATAATTAGTTTGTTTAATATCGAATCATATCAATTTGTTTTAAAGCACAATAAATAACAAAGAAGACCTTTGACCGGCACTTTTCTCATTTTGTCCGGAAGATTTAAACTTTAACGGACATGTTGACCGGCGAAAAAATATTCTAACGGGAACTCTGGGTTGTACATTAATTTAACACGGTAGAAAAATTAAATAAAAAACAGAGCAGTGTATTACAAATTCCTTGTTAATTATTCCAAAGTTAATTCTGTGTTATGTGATCTTTTTCCAAATGCTTGTACCCCATGTTGAAACCTGGAGTCCTTATGAGGCAGTGAAAAAAAGCACTGTCTGAAAATGTGATCATCATTTCTTATTGTACACTGGATACCACATGCTAACACAAAGCAATTACCTTCATTTTAGAATATTTCTTGCAGTATCTCAACTAAATGTGTCCTATTTGTCACTGTTACCAATCATTCAGACTTTATACATTATAACAACAGCAAGAAAAAAGATGATAGTTTAGAAATGTTCTACATATATTTCCCCTCTTTCATATTTATCCAAAATATGTTGTATTAAATCAAAAAAGAATCATTTAACAAAAACATGTACATTGCTCCCACACTAACAGTTGACTTTGTTGCTATAAGAGATTAATTGTGTAATAGAGATTGTGTACAAAAGAAGGGTCTCCTTGAGCCTGTGAATTTATCTTAAAAAATAAATGTCTCCAAAAACTCAATATGTTCGTATAGATTTGTGTAAGGTGTTCAATATCAGAAACTGGCCTCATGGTAGGATCACATGAAAGAATGGAGCTGTACCACCACTTACTGGTAGAGTTACAGCAAGACAGGAAGAAGACAGGAAGAAGAAGAAGCTATAACAAGTAGCAGTTTAAAACAAATGACTATGGTTTCCTGCACTCAGCTGTGGGCCAAATTGGCCACATTCCTGAATTAGATCACTAAATATATCTGAAAATAAGCGTGGAGTGAATAGAGGAGATACACTGTATTCAATTAAACAATGTGAGTCACAAAGCAGACAGTGACTGGTTGAATTTATTCAGGGCATCTTGTCACCATTGATAACGGTCTGGTATGGGATAAAAATGAAGCTCACGGCAAAGGAAATGGAAATAATTATTGACTAAAACCTCAAAGATCAGAGGCTGAAAACTCCCCACACTTTAATCCATGACTAAACGCACGCTCTCACGATCAATGGCGATGACTGATGACCCTCTTCCCCCCGACCACCATCTTTGAACATCTCCACCTGGCAGCCACTAAAGGTCACTAGGAGGCAGGACAGGAGTCTTGGGAGAAAGCTGTGCAGCTTATACTGTAAATACTAAAAAGTCTAATTCTTATGCTATATGGAAATGTACTATATGTTGTTTCAGTAACACTTTCTATGACCCCCATGTAAGAAAAGGATACAACATACATTAAAACATACCTAGAACACTGTATGATCATAGCATGCTTACAAATTCACAAGCATTAAAAGAATAATTAATAAATCAACGAAAACATATTTTTTAATTCCTTATCACTGTAATAATGCACTCATGTGGGATTATAATTTACTCTAAGTGGTCATTGTTTTCTTTAACTAAAGTGAAAACATATTTTAATTTACTTTAAAAATAGCTGAAAGTAACATATTTTCTAATTATAAGTAATAAAGACGCACCAGCAATTATGATGATACTTATAGGTCATTATAATCCTTTGTGTTATATGATTGGTATAATTTTTATAAATAAAATGCAAAGTGATAAAGCATTATATTTTTCAGTGCTTATTAATATAATTATAAAGTGCAATAAGAATATTATATGAATGCATTCTAAGTATGTTCATAATGCATTAAAGATATTGGTGTTTAATGAAATGATTTAAACTAATATTGTCCTGGTTTTAAGAGCCTCAAATAAAAGAGTTCTGCAGTGTGGCAAAGAAACAAAGGCATACATCTATGTCAATATATAATACAAATAATACAGCAAATCAATCAAGTCATAGATGAAGTGAAATACATTCAAATAAAAGGTTGTAGCATAAATTAAACAATAAAGACCAAAAGGAAACTCACATTGTCAGAGACACATGAGGGGAGCAGGACTGGAGACACTTTGCTGTCAGTCTGTCTGCTCTGTCAGTCTCTATCTGATCCTCTGACCTGATCACACCTGCTGTTACGGCCCGTCCACACAGCGGCGTGCGTTGAAGCTTCCAACGCTGCTGCCCATTCACTTTGAATGGGGTGACGTCACTTTTAGCCGAAATGCATTTTGGGAAGCGACGTGGAGCGTTGCTGGCGTCAAAAGTTGAGCAATGTTCAACTTTTGACGCCTCGACGGAGGCGTCAGCCAATGAAATCCCGTTTATTCAAATCTGCCAGTACAATCGCTAGCCAATCAAACCGCGTGTATGCTGGGAGAGACTGCGCAGGTCATTTCCTCATATTCAAACAAATTGAGGGAAAATTCATTGTAGCGGTAGTGAATCACCCGGTGTTGTATGATCAGTCTCTGTTGATCTACCGGGATACAAACCGGAGGAGCGAGGCATGGAGGGAGGAGGCAGAGACAGTGGGTGAAACTGGTAGGTTTTCGCCTGTTTGGGGATTTTATATCCAGTTTACTTCGTTTTAACATTGCTATTGCTTTGTATGTCGGGGGCGGGAGATTCATGTGATTGGTTGTTGGTCGTGTTGCTCGCAAAAAATCCCCAAGCTTCAGATACGCCCACCTCCAAGCGTCAACGCACGCTGCTGTGTGGACGCTCCGTCACTGTCCAACCAGGAGCCTTGTGCAACAGGCAGGTCATGTTTATCAGTCCTCCAGGGGCGGTGTTTGAAGCAGCACAGGGGAATTCACAACAGTTGCAATTATTTATTTTTGGACGTTTGTCCTTTATTTGCACTGATGTTACGTGCCGTTCTGTCAGAAGTTGCAGATGTAGGGCGATGTATTGCACCAAACTTCAACTTGATTAACGACTAACCCTGTACCTGCTACACACAACAATCTGGAAAATAAAATATAACAGCACAAACCTGGCAGAGCAGAGGAAGAATGCTTTTATTTCTGCAACCATAACATCGTGCACATGACTTGCACCACTAGTAGCAGCCTATCTAAGCAAAATGAATAGTTGGCATGAACACAGTGATCGATATTAGTGGTATGTGTCATGGGATGTTATGCCTTTAAAAGCATGTATGACTATCAAGCTTCATTGGGAGCTATAAACAGTCCATGGCTACAAAACAGCCTCACAGGAACAGGAAATGCAAAGCGGAAGATTGTAAGATTGGATGATAAGCTTCTGTCTGCACGCTTTAGGACACGTTATAACCCTTGAAAGATCACAGATTGGCCTAAAGATAGCACCTCATTCATCTTTATTAGTGTAGTGGCATTGTGGCTGATCATACATAAATTAAACATTAGATTCAAGGTAAACAACAATATACCAAATATTGGAACAGAGGTTGTGCAATTAAGATCAATAATATATTTGTATATACATATATTAGACTAATATACAAAATGCAGTCTCCCACTTCCACCCCTCTGGCGCACACACCCAAGTATGCACACACACTAACACACACACACGCACACACAAGTGTTGCATTACAATCACCAATTCACATAGCCTTGAATTATTTTTTTATTATTGTATTAAATCTTTATTTAATTGGGCAGTGTAATTGAGATGAGTCTCTCGTTTTCCAGAGAAAAACCTGTTTGCCATCAAATACAATTTTATTTATTTTAATAAACAGTTTATTTGCTGAAGGAACAACATACTTAAACCTGGCTTTTTTGAGTTACCGATGAGTATTTTTCAGCAGAAACACGAGTCACTGTATATTTCATTTGGCTGTTCTCTTCCCTTATGCATGCTCCCCGTGAAATTGAAAAGACAGTTGCTCTCACATGTTGGCAGGGAAAGATCCATCAAGGCTGAACCAAAACATTTAGCAAAATCAAAAAAGAAATTAGGCAAATACCTCAAATATAAAAGTATCCTCATTCAACGATTCGTAAGAGAAAACGACTGAAAGTCTTTACAGATGTGCAATCATATTTTTTAAGGCTGGTCATTCCTTTAGTTCCCAAACGTTGCCATGCCAAGGACCCCCATATAGCATTATCGTCTGGCGGGGACTTCCCTCTTGCAATAATCAGTTATTCTTCTAAACATTTTTTGTATTTATCTTTTGTTTGTCATTCATTACATTCATTGTGTCTTCTGTTATAAACATTCTTAACACAATATTAAACAGTAATATCAACAGTAAACATATTTTTAAAGCGTTTTTAAAGTGATTTCTGTCTTTATAATATTATATAATTTTGAACAGTAATATGAACAATTAACATATATTTTTAGCATTTTTTAAAGCTACTTATGCCTTAATAGTATTATATATAATATTCAACAGTAATATTAACAATAACCATATTTATATTCATATATATATAAACATCAATATTTGCTACATCCGTGCTCTCATCCAGCTGCAGAGCGAAATATTCACTAGCTTGCTCCAAAAGCTGAGCAGATACTCAGTTTCACTCTCAGTAGTGGCAACTCGATTCTGATTGGCTTGAAGGGCGGTCGTGTGATTTAATATATAAATAAGTAAAAAATATTAAAAGATTGGCATCAAAGGACACATAGATTAATAGATATGCAGTTATTAATTAAAAAAAAAAATGTAACTTTAAAAAAAAAAATTCCTCTTTCCCTCAAACTTTGCGTGACCCCCCTGGTGCCCCCTGGCGGCCCCCCGGGGGGTCGGAGCCCCCACTTTGAAAAACACTGCTTTAGTACATGGATTCCTCCTAACACAAGACATGTGTGTGACTAATACAAGACATTTAGTTCCATGTTTGCATCACCACAGATCACTATCAAATCCAAAATGTTTTCATTTGTTTTTAGCAACATTGTTACAACCCAACTTTAACCTCTCTCGATGAATATTGTTTCAGAGCAATTTAAAATGAAAATAATCTGAGAATGCATAAGAAACATACAAATGATGGCATTAAAAAGCAGCCTACATGTCCTGAGAATAACAATACGTGCCGTGTTCAACTGAGACTTCTAGCGACTGTGCTTAAAGCCTAGAAATAAAATGGATGAAAAAACTAAATTGGGTTTAAAGGTTAGGCTTTAATTTACTCAAACATCTGTATGAAGCTTTCATTGCTTCATTAACTGAACCTTTTAGGATTCTCAAGGGATACAATTAAAAACAATGAGTCATTTGCATTATTTACTAAATAACTAATAGTTAAACAGATGATACGGTGACTCTGCGTGTCCCCACTGTCAGAACCTATTACCTCGTTCCTTTTCCAGATCCTCAAATTTCACAAGAAAAGGGTTCCGTGGTGTTTTCAGTTTCCTTGGTGTGGTAGCCCCCGCTGTGGAGGGTCCTAGGACTGGTCACATTTGGAGAAAAGTGACACCTCACTTGGGGTATTTGACAAACTGACACTCAGCGAAACAAGAGTGTCAAACTCAGCTTGTCAAATACACTAAGTGGGGGGCCTGATCCGGGGAAGACTGGCTCTGTGGAGTAAACAACCTGCAGCAAACAAACATTAAAGAAGTAAAAAAGCATGTTTATATTTTACACAAATCTCTAATGTCTTTTAGAGAGAAGATTCAGATGTGTTACCTGAGTGTTTGAAGCAGAAGAGTCCGTGTGCTTCTTCCTCCCTCAGGAGTTCCTACTGTTGACACTGTGCACAAACACCTCGTTTGACCATTGAGCGCTGCAAAGAGGAAGTCAAAACAAGGAAGATAACTGCCAAGCTAGAGCTCAGGAAATATGTTGAAATGAAGTGTCAACATGTCATGATTGTGAAATTTGTGGCTCACAGTTTTGGAGATAATGGCTCACAGTGACACATTCGTCTTTTGTGGCATTTGCTGTGTTTTCACTGTTTGTGTACAGAATGTGCTGAAGGAACTGTATAGAGTCACAGGAGAATGAACATTTCAGATCCGATGGTGTAGAGTTTTAATGGCATTTTACAGTTCATTTAATTTAAATATATTCCAATGTTCAGTATTTCATTTTACATTCTTTGTGTTACCATTCTCTTGCACTATTTCTATTTCTATTTCTTCTTGCACAACTTGTACTTCTTGTTGTGTCTTAAACCAATGACTTTCATTGCCCAAACTACACTGTAGCTATGACAATAAAGCCCTTGAAATATTCATCTTAAGATTTGTGTTAACACTACAGTATGAGATCAAATGAACTGGTCTATTCTTGGTATTGTACCTCCATTAACGGCAATGTTAGCCATACTTTTTCAAATGTTAGGCCATGTTTCCTCTTGCGCTATCAGCCGTCTCTGGCCATCATCAGCTGCTTCCTGCTTCAAGGAAAAGCATCAGCGTCTGGCCTGCTGATTGGTGGTCCATCTGTCAGTTTGCCCCCCTGTGCAGCAAAGCTACACGCATCAGGGCGATGAAAACTAGTTCCACATGGACACAACATCATTTCCTAATAGCCTACGTATTAAGCCCAACCAGGACTCAGTCCATGCAATTATTTTATGATGTCTGGACTCTTGTTTTTCCAAGTAAAACTCTATCAAAGTCACTTTTTCTTGCCTCACCGTTTTACTTTTTGCAACAGCCAGAATGTGCTGCACACTGTAACTTCCCCTTGTTACTCAGGACCAACGCACCACCATTACTCTCTGGACTTCCCTCTGCAGACACCACCCTGCTGTAGGTTAGGTTCTCTAATACAGAGGGACTGGATATACTGTATACTGAACATACTGTATACTGGATATACTGTATACTGAACATACTGTATACTGGATATACTGTATACTGAACATACTGTATACTGGATATACTGTATGCTAGCTGTTTGTACAGTTTACACAGCACTGTTACTTGTATCCTTGTATTTTAAAGCTGTTTCTGTTTAATTTAGATTTGATTGCCTCTATTTTTTTATTTTTTTATTTATACAGGTGTAAAATCTCATTGAGACACAAGGTCTCATTTTCAAGAGAGACCTGTCTATAGTGGTTGTTTTTGAAGGTTTCAAAGTTGAAATGTCCGTAAAAATAAACTTGCCTTGCCTTCAGTATTTTACAGTACAGTACAGTACAGTATATTATAGAATAGTATAGTATAGTAAAGTATTGTTGTGTATTGTATATTTGAGTTAACAACCTATAGTATATTATATTCTAGTGTAGTATAGTATAGTATCATATAAAAACGTATAGTATATTATAGTTTACTATAGAATAGTATAGTACAGTACAGTGCAGAATAGTATAGTATAGAATACAAGGGTATAGAAGAGTATAGTATAGTACAGTACAGTGTAGAATTGTATGTTATAGTATAGTATTGTTGTGTATTGTATATTCTAGTTTACAGTATAGTTAATTATATAGTAAAGTGTAGAATAGCATAATATAGTATGTGTCACGATCTGTCTATGTTTTATTTTGTCCTGTCTAGATCTGTCTTTGTTTTCCTGTTTTAGTTTGAAAAGTGTTCACCCCTCGTCTTGTCTGTGGCTTCCTGTCTGTGTTCCCTCCTGCCTGATTACCTGATTGTGTTCACCTGGTGCTCCTGTGTGTTCTCCTCCCTCCTCACCTGTGTCTTGTTTGTTTGATTAGTCCTGTGTGCATTTATGTTCTGCTTTTTCTGTTGGTCTTTGTGAGATTCTTGACGTTGTTGGATGGATTTTGGTTCGTACGAGTTTGTGGTTTGCCTTGCTTTACTTTGTTTGCCTGGCCTTTTCCGTAAATAAAGGAGTTTGATTCAACCAACGGGTTGCTGCATTTGGGTCCTATAAATACCTCGCCGTCCAGCCGTAACAGTATGATGTTGTATGGTACAGTATAATATACAATAGTTACTGTAGTAAGTAGCACACTAATAATTCCCAACCTTTCTCTAAAATTGAGTAAGCTTACTACTACTCTTTAGTAAGTGACATATTTTATAAAAAAAACTATACTAGAACTATACAATTGACCTGAATAGTGAATGCAGTTCTGCAGGTCGTTGTGTAAAGCGATCTCTCAGGATGAACTCCTGTGGATGTTGCATCATGTTGAGCTGTGTGTTGCAGCACAGCATCGTGTGTTGCAGCTCTTCACTGTGCAGAGATCCTAAATCTTCAAAATGTTTTTTAAAAATGTTTTCACCGAAATAAATAAGATCCTGAGATATGGGCTTACTGTGTGCATTTTTCTTTAAAGTTGTCCAATACCTTTTATTAAAAAAAAGAAGCCCCCACAACCCATGTGTAGCATTAGCAACCCCAATTTGGGGTCTTGGCTCCTGGCTCCAAGGTTGAGAACCAGTGGAGCGGCACTATTGTGGTATTTTAAAATAGGATAATCAGTCTTGCATGTGGGTGATCAGATATTTTGTGAAATAACTTTGGGTTATTATGTGGCACACCTTTGTCTTGATATTTTAAAGTTCACATACTGTGCAACAAGTTAAAGTTGCACAGATAGTCTTATGGTCATATTTATTCATTTAAATATTGAGGCCTGAGCCTTTCAAACTGAATTTAGGGAGATTGCCTTTTAAAAATACTATTACCCGCTTAGACTGCGCACAGTTTGCATTTTTAATGCCATTTTGTGAGCAACAAGTGAGGGGTGTTGCAATATACTGGTATTGATGATAACCACCATTTAAAATAATACAAGATAGAAATCTTAGATTATAATGGACATAATAATTATGTAGTAAATCTGATATAGTGATAAGTTTGAGAATTCATTAGACAAAACCTGTGAGGTCTAGAACACTATTTGGCATTTTAAGAATAATATAAATGAAAGGTCTTGAAGGTCGAGGGATAAATTCAGAGTGCTGACAAACTGAAGAAGAAGAGAGAACATACAGAAGTCCTGAGTCATTCTGTGTTCAGACAGTGAGACTCATGGCAGCTTATCTCTGAGTGGCAGTTCAAAGTGTGAACCATTTCAACACCCTTCTCCGGCCATTATACCACACATATAGGGGAAGTGGTAGATGAAAAAACACCACCACCCTGTTGTTGAGAAAGAGATGGTCCAATTGTGTTATGTTCACATTTCGCACCCTTTGGTAATGTTCGAGTCAAATTGACCCGGGACATATTTCAGGGTTTAAAACAAATACAGAACTAAATTCAACATGCACAATTCCTTATATATATTGTCTTTAACTCATTCCCCAACAATATAAATGAAATATATGATTAGTTTTTGAAAATACTCTTTGCTAGATCAAATTTAACAATGGAAGTGTCCATCGTTTTTTGTGATAAAAATGTAATTTGTTAAAAAAAATACATTGTAATAAAAACTAGGTTTACATTTTGCTCATGCTTTTCTAGGACAAATGTAAATGAACATTTTTTTCATTAATGTTTATTATTTTTAATCTGTCATATAATAATCAAAGCCCTGAAGGAAATAAAGCAATTTAGCAGCAATTGGAACACAAGAAATATAGAGGGAATGAAACATCCATATAAATGACATAGAACAGATATAAACACAAAAAACAATTAACAGTCACTATTCATAAAATACAGTATATCCGAAAACTATATTGATGAAGTGACGCTGCAGAACATCATGTGAGTCAATGGGCTGGTCCGTTTAGGAAACACATGATGTACAGAACTTCTTCGTGTGTATAGCACAGATGTACTTGTTGCAGTTGCTGCATGTAGTCTGTGTCTTGGAGTCCTTTGAGGGTCCACAGACCTCACAGCTGGCTGTGGGGGTCTTCCAGAAGCTGACTGTGGGGGTCTTCTTGCGGCTGGCTGTGGGGGGCTTCCAGCAGCTGGCTATGAGTCAAGTTCATCTTCCAATTTGCTGTCAAATTCTGAGTTTACCTCCACATTATCCTCATCTTCAGAAATGTCTTCCTGTCCCACTTCACCGTGTTAATCTCATTGAGTTTCAGGTTGAACGAAAATATCCTTATATATTTTTTTATTCATGGACATGGAAATCGGGTCAATTTGACCCGAACACCACACAAGGGTTAACAAGAATTAACTGAATTTGCTACAGCCAAGTTACCTTGCACTATGTATTGACCAAGAATACTTGCATTCAAACATTTGTAATTTAGTTACCACAAGTAGAAATGCAGTATGAAGTGTACTGCAAAACTAAAGTGATATAGGCTACTGTGACAAACTGAGAGCTGCATGGGTTTTGAATTGCAAACAGAAAGAGTTTCCTGTCTTACTACCTGTCAGTCACTGTCCTTATTTGAGTCATAAAAGTGAATTTAAAAATGAGGGAGAAATCCATTCCCTGACATTTTAGTGCATACTCACTATATTTAATATTGTGCGATAATTTGTGGTCATGTACAGCCATTCTCTAATCTGATGATCAATCTGAAATTCTATTCTGAGAATTTGCTGGAGGAAATTAACCTCAAAGTCGCATAATATAACTTTTAAAACTACAGCGTAGTTCACTATCCAGTAACAGGAGGTTTATAGTTGTGAAAATCCTGGCATCATGTTCACTGATGAGAATACATTTTCAAATTGATGTCTCAATCCTCCCAGAAGACTGAGGGTGAACTGCCATCTTGTGGCTCAGTGCAAAACTGCAGGTTTGATCTTAAAGGTCCATGTCATGGCCATTTCTACTGATCATAATTCCATTGTTGAGGTATACTAAAATAGATTTAAATTGTGCAATTTTCCAAAATCACATTGGTTTCTCATACAGCATCTCTGTATAGTATGTGTATTCACCAGGT